TAATGAATAAGGCGATGAGTGAGGCTAATGATCCCATTGTTGGGCTAAACACTAGGAGTGGTCATTAAATAAATTATACTGATTTTCAAAGAGGAATTTATGAAACAGAACAAAGGGTAGTTCCTGAAGAGGAATTCCATGTATGCATGAAGTAGAGAAAACATAATCAGATTAAGTACCTACCCATAGAGGATGACTATTTTGAGTACAAGTCATTCACATGCATAGGTTTTAGGCATATTTCAAAGTAAGCATCTTCAGAATCTTATTAATTACTTTGTGTATCTCATTGTTTCCAGGTGGTTATCATCATATCAGCCTCTATTGCAATAAACAGAAATTGGAAATGATGAGTAGGCAAGAATTGGTCTAGGAGTGTGGTCCTTTAATTTACGTTCATATTGATTAAATCAGTTTCTATTTGATCTTAATTTAGTTTTTCTCCATTGCCTTCTGTTCGTAAGTCTAGGGATGAATGTGTATGTGCGTTAAGTGTACATAAGAAATACAATAAACTTTTTAAAGACAGAGAGTCCATGTACCATATATACTCTCTAAGCCTGATTTTTTTTTTTTTTTGGTTACCTAGGTGCCCCTGTACAGTTACTACACAATAGTTACCAATCACTAATAAAAATGACTATTAAGTTCCTATGCAATATAAACTACTGTATAAAGGCTAAGCAATAAATCATTTACTGCTTACTCTGAGCAAATGGAAACCTCGTTTTGCCAATATAAACAAGACCTCCTCTTATCCTATACTTTATAGTGGTATTATTTTGAAAATCACAAGTCCCAATAGATTGTCACAACAGGAACAATCATTATCTGATTTGTTCCTCTTTATGGTATTAACAATGTTCTAATGTTGTGAAGCACCTTAACCAAGTAACATTTGATGTTTTAAGAAACGTGGATGTTAGCCACATTTGTAAGACAGCACAACCCAGAGCGATAGAACTGGCGAGTGAGGCAGAAGGAAAGTGAACACTGTTGCAGCAGAACAGTGACCAAGACTGTGGAATCTGGCTTAAGGGAAGTTGGCAGAAGGTAGGTTTGGCAGGGTAGCGAAAACCATGTTTCATCTTGGAAATCTGTGAGCTACTGCACACAAGACAAGCTGCTAAGTTAATTATGAAACAATAAGATTTGGGACAAATAAGAAGGTGAAAGAATTTTTTTAAAGACTATTTTAAAAGCATTTCTAAAACCAGACCATACATGAGCTTTTGAAACCTTAGGAATACTTCATCATATTTCGAAATATAAAGTTCAACTTTATTAAACATATGGGTTACCTTGAAATTATCCAGAATATTAAAATTAATTTGAAAATAATTAAAATACAGAAAAACTTCAAGTGTGCGTCCAAGTTCTGGGTAGCATTAATATGATATAAAAATTGCTGAGAAAATTTACAGTGAACAGGTGTGTGAAATAATTGAGGGGAAAAAAGTTCAGACATTAATTAGCAAGAATTATGAATTTTCATGTTAGGTTGTTCTCAAGTTGATGTATTTTAAAGCATATGTATGGATATATACATATATATATATGAAAAAGTTTAAAATCGTGGATACACATGGAAAAGAAAACTTTATTTATAACATTCTATACTTTTGTTATCAATCACCTGATGAGGCATGGAAAGAGAAGAAAAATGTCTAAATTAAAAGAAAAAAATAATTATAAACATTTTGGAAGTTTATTCAGTAAGTTTTGCTAGTGGTGTTGAAATGTTCTCATTTCAAATTCAGTAAAATAAAGACATGCACTTAAAGAATGTCTCTACTGAGACTTGGGGAGAAAAGGGATAAATATGCCAAAAATAATACCCTAATTTCTGCACTCAAAGAATTTATGATGGGGAGGGAAGCCAGGCCAAAATTAAAAAGCATAACGTTAGAAAATAATGTGACAAATGCTACTAAAGAAACATACATTAATAGAAGATGTGACAAAGACGTAAGGACTTTACCCTAGGTTGGGAAGGATGGTGCGATCTGGGTATTTATCAGGTAAGATTAGTGGAAAATGTTTTAGACAAAGGGAAGAGGATGTATAGAGCTTCAGAATTATAAACAAGCCTATTGTACTGGTGTTGTCAGGATTTGACAATACTCAAAAGAGTACTGCCATAAAAAAAATCTAAAAGGCGGGAGAGACATTGGAACCAGGCTGTGGAAATAAGCTGAACAGACTTTGATAAAAGTATTAGTGAAAGCGTGAAGAGGCCTGAAGAGTGTTTCATGACATATTCATGATCGTTGAGGAGGTTGACAGTGAGAGTTTAAAGAAAAGTGAAGAAAATTTTATTTGAAACTGGAGAAAAAAAAATTTTTATTGTGTGGTGGTAGAAAGTTTAGCAACACTGTCACCTGCAATAATGGGGAAATTAAAAAATTTACCTAATTAACTGTGTGATCTAACTCAGGATGTTTCCAAAGAGTGCTGAAAGTCTTCCAGGTTTCTTTTTGCTGCTTGTAATAAAATGTGAGAAGACAGGGATAAAGTAAAGACTTTTGAAGAAAAAATGATTTTTTAAAAAGATTCCAACCTCTAAGGACAACAAATGATGCTACAATTAAGAAATGACTTCTAGGTAAAGATCAAATCCAGGACATTCTAAAGAAAACATGGTCTACATATGAAAGCCAAGAATTTAAAATTATTTAAGACCTCAGAAATATTCAAGACAGTGCATTAGAGAATTATTCAGTCAAACAATAGGGCTTCTAAGGTGTTTAAGGGTGTTGTCCCTCAGCAGAAGTTCAAGGTAAAGAAGAGCTTATCTTGAATGGTGAGTGTAATCCTTGTCTAATGAAGTGAACCCCAGCAAAATTCACAGGAGGCCTAGAAAGTTTTGACTTACGTTGCTTGAAGCACCACCAGTTTGGACAGAAACAGGCAACGACCATAAAGAGAAAAGAGGCCTTTGTGCTCCCAAACTTCCACCACCAGGAAGTAAATTGAGAAACCTACACACACAGACTAACCTTCATGGAAAAGGGAGAATGACTCAGAAGATAAAAGCAAGAGTCCAGAGGGTGGATCCAGGAGTGGGTGACTGTGCCTTGCATGGAGAGGGACGTGTGTCATTGGGGAGCCAGGGATAGACAATGATCACTGACCTACAAAGTAGTCCCCAGTGATTCTCACTTCCTGGTTGATGCCAGGAAGCCGCATCCTTGTCAGGGGTGTCTGTGTCTGTCAGGGTGGACCAGGGAAGTGGCAGGGAAGTGCCCAGGGGGTGGGGGTGTATCCTGCCAGAAGAGCCCATTCTCTCTGACACACTAAATGCTAAACTCATGTTAGAATATTTTAGAGGTCTCTAGAAATAACCAGGTGAGCTGTGAGGTCCTGAGCCAGCTGAATTCAGATGAGTATCTTTCATGAGAACCTATGTCCTCATGGTGCTGTCTGGAGAGCGCTGATTACAAGCTCTTGGGGAAACCCTAAATTAGGAGCAGGAGAGAGCAATGACTGAAGGATGAGCAGCGGGAACCAGTCTTCCTAATGGCTTAGGATCACGGGGTGGGACTGGCATCCCCTTTCCAAATTGGGAGTGGGAAGGCAAGTGGTAAAGGGATTCAGCACCCTCCCTCTGTGGGCATGGTGAAGGAGACACCCTCCCCCCCACCCCCCACCATCCACCTTACCCTGGGAGAGGCCAAGAAGGGCCAGGGAAGAAGATGGCTGCCCTTCTCTCTGAGTCACAGGCCCTGAAACTCCAGCACTGAGAATCTGTTCTGGGAATGGCTGGGGTCATCTTTTGGGAACTGCACCAATGATGGCGGGAGGGCCAAGAAGGTTTCCTCACTTTGGGGAAGAAATCAGAATGCCTCAGCTAGAAGTCCAAGTGGGAAAAGACTGGGTTCTAGGCAAGATTGCTTCATGTGAGAACACAAAGCCCCATCCCTCCCTGCTGCTTGCAATACGGGCAACAGAAAGCCCAGTGGGCCTGCCTCAAGCCAGACCAGGGTCGGGGGTCTTGTTGCTGCTGGGAGAGTTGATCACTGCTGGGCTGAGATGGGAGTGTTTGCCTAGATCCAGGCATCAACCACAGACTCACATGCAGGCCTGGGAGAGAACAGTCCCATCTCCAGACAAGAAACGGGCACAGAAAGTGATGCAATGGCCTATGGTGGCTGCTTTATACTGGGGTCCCTCAGCGTTGGGAGTTTTGAAGCAGACACTTTTCAGTGTTTAAGGAATAATCACTAACAGACATGAAAGGGGTTGAATTGCTACTAATTGCCTTAATAATTCATTAAATATCCTCTGGAACTAGACACTTCACATAAATCTCAGTCAATATTTGTGTGTTAATAGGGAAAAAAACACCCTGAACCTTGTCTTGGTACATTGGAACCACCATGTTTTCAAATGGGAGAATTGTTTTTCCCCAATGTGGCTGGCCAGTGTTACTGTGGACAGGTCTGGGGCCCCGATAAGTGTGAAGCTTTTAGGTCGCTTTGGTTCTGAGTGTCACAGGAATTGACATGTTAGACCTGAAGTAAAGGAGTTTGCATTGTATTTGCCAAGTTCACATCTGATATGGTTTGGCTCCGTGTCCCTGCCCAAATCTCATGTGGAATTGTCATCCCCAGTGTTCGAGGAGGGGCTTGGTGGGAGGTGACGGGATCATGGGGGTGACGTCCCTCTTGCTGTTCTTGTGATAGCAAGTGAGTCTCACGAGATCTGGGGGTTTGAAAGTGTGTAGATCCTCCCCCTCACCTCTCTCTCTCTCTCTCTCTCTCTCTCTCTCTCTCCCCCTCCCCTGCTCTGGCCATGTGAAGATGGTGCCTACTTCCCCTTTACCTTCTGCCATGGCTGTAAGTTTCCTGAGGCCTCCTGAGAAGCAGAAGCCTGTACAGCTTGCAGAGCCATGAGCCAATTAAACCTCTTTTCTTCATAAATTACCCAATCTCAGATAGTTCTTTAGAGCAATGCGAGAATGGACTAATACAACATCATTGAATGATTGAGCCCATTAATCAAAAGATAAATAAGGTCCATGTTTATTCTTCAATATAATACATATACATGACTGTTACACATCTTTATAAAGCAAAGAAAAACAGCCAAATGAAACTGAGTTTGGAAATTTAAAATAGACATCGTAGACACAATCACCACATTATGAATTCTTTTTTTATTTCTTACCAACACCAGTAAACCTAGTCAGAAAGACTGACACATCTATCAGCTGAGATGACAGCAAAACACACATTAGGCCACATATGAACGCTCACATAGCAGGTGCTTTCTGCTTTTCTAAATGAGTAGCAGTGGTTGAGTTATAAGCCTTCACGGAAGGTGAAACTGCCCATAGAAAGACCACTTATACAAAGCACAGCCCACTAAAACGGAGCAAAAAGAAACATAGAACGCTTCTAATTGAGAAACTGCAGACTCCAAGCTATGTAAGGAAGGCAAATTAATCCAGAAACCCAACATCTAATAAATCCAGTAACCCACTTCCCTTTAGGACAGATGGAAATTTGCCTTCTGGTAAGAAAATGTCTTAATCTCAAAAAGGTTTTCAGGGAGCATGGTGATGTATGAGAAGACAAACTTTGATTCTAACTTAAGAAAAAGGAAAGAAGTAAAAAAAATGTAAAACACAGTGCAAAAGCAAGGGGAAGCTTTGTGGATCCTGGGAAGTGGACCCTGGTGACGATGCAGCTCACAGAGACGACAGGACGGCCAAGGGACAGGAAAGAACCAAGTCCCAGGACCACAGCACTCCAGGGGCCTGAGGCTGCCTTTCAATTGCACTTTTACAAGTGGATTTTCAACCAGGGTTCTGTCATTTGGCCCCCAGCACAAACTAACCCAGTACACACATGCTCACTGGCACCCCGTGCTGGGTGGCTGGGGGAGGGGCAGAGGAAGCAGAAGGAACGAAAAAGGAATGAAATAAAGAGCTGATTCTGTTCCTAGGTATCAAATCCATATTTTGATTCTTAAAAAAAAAATTCTAGCTAATTTCCATAAAATGGATAAAAAGTAAGCATTCACACATCTTTGCAAACATACTCACCTCAAAGCAAGCCGCAACAATGGCAACATGCCTACTTACATTTTTGAGGAAAGAAAGCAAATTAATAACAAGTCAGACAAAATAACTGAAAACAAACTTATGGCACTCAACAGACATGAGTGTTACCAACATCAACCTAGAAATTATTTCCCCAAGTTAGTTCAGGTGAGAGTCTTCCAAAATTTCCACTGTAACAAATGGGGATATATGCCCCCCTGATTTTTAAATAGCATTAGATTCTGGGTAAGTGTTAGTATCTTCCAGATACCAATGTGGCATGCCTCCTCTTAATAACTTGCGAGTTTTATTTCTCTCCAGGCAGTGGGAAGTGCCACATCAGTGCTTCATTTCCTCCATTTGCTAAAGAAACTGGGAACTGCCTAGTGAGTGAGCAAAGCCATAGCATCCATTAAGAGGGTGGAGGAGAAATACAGCCTCCCAAATCCTAATGACCTGTTGGAAAAATTGATCTCCATAGCCCTGGTCTAGCCAGACTCAAGCTTCTTTGAGTCCATGCTCACATCTGGCTTGATTCCTCGGCTTTGCAAAGCCCCCTTTTCCCATTAGAGCAGCAATCTACCTAGTTACCAGTGCTCGCTGGAGCAGCCACACAAAGGCATGGAGGTGGGGGTGGGCAGGATGAACACTAGACTGATAATCTCTCATTTCAAGTAACTCTAGACTGTAATCATCAACTCTGCAATGCAAACTACCCTCAGCACTCATATAAAAGGCACCCTGCTGGCATGGAGATGCCTTCCCATTCCAAATGTTGAAATTTAACTACAGAATCAAACAAGACCCATTTTGAAAGTAGAGTCTCCTTTCTAAACCTCAAAACAAAACAAAACTCACACCCACTCACTGCAGGGTCATCAGTGGATTCACTTGGCAAAGAAAGCATGCCTGCATTTGACCTGAGCTGTCTCTTCCATGTGTGGCAGGGTCTGAGATCTGCCAGTGTGAGTCAGAAGGGAAGGTGGATGCAAATTGCACATCGTGCAAAAGGCCTCATGCTCGATTTGGTAGAGAATCCACACCACAGGACAGAAAACGCCCTTCCACAAGGGGCTTCAAATCAGACCCTCGTGTCCTGTTTAGCATTTGAGTGGAGGCCAGCTCTCTGTGGTCTGACTGAATATTAATGCATGCACTGGCTTGTGTTTTTCCAGACTCAATGAATAGCATCAGCTAAAGATAGCACAGTAATATAACACTTCAGTCACAGGGCTGTGTGTGTGTGCGTGTGTGTGTGTGTGTGTGTGTGTGCATGTTTTAAGGGAACTAAACATTTTAAGCATAGTCACATAATAGGAACATAAGAAACCAACCTTGGATAAATGCAGGAGCAAAGGAGGGAAAGAAATGCATCCTAATGTAAGAGCAAAGGCTAGAAAGGAGTCAGTTTTGTAACTAGCACGACCACAAAATTTGCATGTGGCCTTCACCAAATCACACATTTCCTTCTATCTCTACTTCTCCTTACCTTAAATATGAGACTAAAGATGTTGCACATATTCATGGCATGCTGTAAGGATTCCTTAGGTGGATCTGAGAGATAATGGGCGAAAGCTGATGCAAAGTGAATCTGCCCTCCCTGCTGAGGCCACCAAGTAATTCTTAAACCTTTCATTGCTACTGTGACCACAGTAGCCCAGAAGGACGGTTGGATAAAAACAGAGGCATTAACACAGCCGATGTCAACACAACAGTTATTTGGAAATGGAAAATGTGAGGAAAGCTCATGAAGCTGGGCGGTGAGCTTGGAGTTAAGCGGGTAATGGGAATTTTGTGGGGCTTTTCCTTGCCTCTCCTTCCTGTGGAAATGACACACTCGTTTTTCACTCTTTAAAGCCCAGTTCATTTCAAGATCCCATAAGCCATCTACAGTAGGGCCCATTTCCCTTCTTACGTATCTGCCATGAAATGGCACATGGGCTAGGCATAGGAACCTTCCGACTGGAACATTCCAACAATCTCACATCCAGCAGGTGACCTAGCAGATTTGCCCTCACCTCTGGTGTGCGACTGTGATTTCTTCATCACCACTGAGTCCCGCGAGACTGCATGGGCCAGAGGCTGCACTTGATCTTTGTCAGTGTTTGTGTTTACCCAGAAGCTTGAATGTTATTTCCCAAGTCACTTCAACATTGGGAGCTCAGCACTGTCTTTCTCCAGAAGGTGCAGACCCGTCTCTTTTCGTTGACAACTGGGGCTTGAGGAAAGCTCTTTGCGACTGTTCACATTATTCCAAAGGTTGGAATTTCAAAGTCCAACCATAAACATACACTTTCTGCATCACCTCTCAAAACTAATTTGTTTTGTGGGGATGAACTGTCAGTCAGAAGGCTCCAGGAAGTACAGATGTGAAAACAGAATCAGCTACTTGGAAGAAAACGTGCGTGGGGGACACTTCAGAATAAATGAAACACACAGTGGCTGATGCCTCTTGTTTGAGAATTCAGAGATGGCTTCTGTTCCAGCAAGAAAATTATTTACCCATTGTAGTCATGTGACCTCAGAGCAAACCAAAACAATAGAGTCTGAGAAACTAAGTGTTCAAGGGTGCACTGGACTTAGAATTCTATCTGGTCATCAAATTGCCTCTTTGAAAGGCATTGTCTAATGGCTAAAAGAAGTTTTCTTCCCCTCAATGCATTCTCCAGTTTTAAAATCTCCAATAAATCTCAAGTGTGATAGCTGTAGTAATATGAGAAATAGCAAACATAATGCACCCCCTGCCCCAGTGACTAAGATCAAAAAATTTAAAAAACAAGTAAAAAAATCTCAAGATGGCAGGAAAACATCTTCCCAACATCACGACCCCCCATGCAGGGATGCGTTTGCGCCCTGGGACGGGACCCCAGCGCGGGATGTTCCTCTGTGCGCAGCAAAGGCTCCAGTTCAAGTTCAAGTTCAATTTCAGGGTCAAGGGCTCCCCTGTTAAGACTACCAGTCATCATAGGGGTCAAGGCATCAGAACTGCTGATTTTTCCAAAAATTTTCTCAAAGCAGCAGCAACCGCAGCAGTTTTCCTGCAAAGTAAACAAAATATGAATCTTGTTAATTCAGCAGGGCTTTTAAAATTATAATTAGTTGGTTGTGCCCCTTAGGAAAACCACAGATGATTTATTTAATAATGTATGTGTGTATGTGAGAGGAAAAAAGAAAGAAAGAAACCTCTTGATGGATTCCACCACTTACCAGAGTTGGGCTTTTTATTTTTTAGTTTGTGCAAGGTATTTTTTTTCTTTCCAACTTTCATTTTAGGTTCAAGAGGTACATGTGCAAGTTTGCTACATGGGTAAATTTGTGCAAGATATTTTAGTACTATTTGCAGTATTGAAGGACAAGGCGTCTTTGTTTCATCTGAAGTACAGCCACTCCGTCCATCTGGTCAGTTGATCCCAGCATCAAAGGGAGAATGCAGCCTCAGGCGTGGGGACATTTCCATTTGCTTTACAACCACGTCTGACCTGGGGCCCGCACACGGCTGCCCGCCATCATTCCTGTGGATCTGAGAAGTGCTCTAAATTTATATCCCAGAAGTTGGCAAAAGATACGACGGAGGTAACCAGAAACAAAATGCCACCAGGTTGATTTTGGGAGAGTTTCCTCTAACAAATTGCAGGAGGTGTATATGCCTCGATTGACATTGTGGATTATGCCTTATTTATCGGCCTGGAACTCGTTCCTTTTTCCACAGGAATAATCTTCAACCACTAGATTTTTAAAATCAACATTATCTCGAATTTGCTTTCTGTCATAATACATCCTGCCATAAACCCATCTCATCCTGGCAAGGAATATTATTATGAAGAATAATCTTTTTTTTTTCGAACTTCTCAAACGAGGCCACTCCCAGAGTTAAAAATCTTACATTAAGTTTCCTTTTTTTTTTTTTTTTTTTTTTTTTTTTGAGAAGCCGATTTTTTCTTTTTTTCCAGGCTGGAGTGCAATGGCACGATCTCGGCTCACCGCAACCTCCGCCTCCTGGGTTCAGGCAATTCTCCTGCCTCAGCCTCCTGAGTAGCTGGGATTACAGGCACGCGCCACCATGCCCAGCTAATTTTTTGTATTTTTGGTAGAGACGGGGTTTCACCATGTTGACCAGGATGGTCTCGATCTCTTGACCTCGTGATCCACCCGCCTCGGCCTCCCAAAGTGCTGGGATTACAGGCTTGGGCCACCGCGCCCGGCCATTAAGTTTCAATTAAAAAAAAAAAAAAGTAAGAAGGTAGGCCGGGCATGGTGGCTTATTCCTGTTATCCCAATGCTTTGGGAAGCAGAGGCAGGAGGATCACTTGAGCTCAGGAGTTCAAGACCAGCCTGGGCAACATAGTGAGACCCCACCTCTACAAAAAAAATTTAAAATTAGCCACGTGTGGTAGTTCATGCCTTTGCTCCCAACTACTTGGGAGGCTGAGGTAGGAGGATCACTTGAGTCTAGGATGAGGCTACAGTGAGCCATACTGATGACACTGCACTCCAGCCTGGGTAACAAAGCAAAACCCTGTCTCGAAAGAAAGAAAGAAGGAAAGAAAGAAAAAGAAAGAAGGAGAGAGGGAAGGAAGGAAGGAAGGAAGAGAGAGAGAGAAAGAAAGAAAGAGAGAGGGAGGGAAGGAGCGAGGGAGGGAAGGAAGGAGAGAGAGAGAGAGAAAGAGAGAGAAAGAGAGAGAGAAGGAGAGAGGG